GGGGGGGAGTAAAAGCCGTGACGGTGTTAAATTTAAGGCGCCAGCTATAACCCTGAGCCAGCTAAATCCTTGATTCGCTGGGTAGTGCTCACACTTGCGATACCGTATGTTGTCGTATCCTTAAGGGGAGACTACTATGAGTTCTGAAGTCGCCGGCGATTGGAGTGGGATTTCTCATGCATTGAAGATCGATTATATGTGTCAAAATAAGAATAATTAGCCCGGCTGCGTGGCGCACTTGGTAGCAGCATGAGATTCACAACCTCAAGCTCCCAGGTTCGAGCCCCGGCCGGGCCAAAATCCCACACCAATTTTTCATCACAAATTTCCACATTATATTCATCTGAACATTTAACACAATTTTCAAACCAAATATTCCACAGATTTTCCAAGTGAAAAACCCACTGCACACTCAACATTCCCGGGCTGAAGGCCCTCGGGCGATGGCCGCGTTGGCAAGTTAACCCTTGCAACGAAAAACCGGTGAATTTTTTTTAAAGAATAATTAGTGCGAAAAAATTAATTGTTTATTGTTAAAATTGTATGCTTAAAATGGTGAAAATAGTCCAGCCTCCAATTTTTTAATTATAGAGTGAGCTTTCTGATGGTTTCTTCAAATGTGATGTTTCAAATTCATTCAAGTATATGTAAATAAAATTTTTCCATTAACATTTTATCGAAGGGGTGAGAGGAGAGATAAAACCGTTAAAAGACAATCGGTTGTACAGAAGAAAGGGATAATAAGAATAATGATGATGATAACATTCAACTAAGTTGAAAATCTGACAAGATTAGTTGAAAAGAAATCTTATTCAATTTAATAAAATGAAATAAACAATGAATTATCCATGAATTATGCATGATAGAAGGAAATGATGTGCAAAATAACCCTTCGTCAGCACATCACCAATTAATTACCAATCCATAATTTCCATAAAATAACCAAAACGATATATCGAAGACTGTCTCATACATTTAGCCCCTCGTACTCCAAAAGATCCATTCAACTGATTTCTTTAAAAAAAGTAGGAGCTCTCCTATTCTGAATTGGGGTCGAACCTCTCACTTCTTACATTCCCCTCCCCTCCACACTCCCCGCATTCCCGCATCGCCACTGGTTTCAGGGGAGGTTTCACCGTCGAAATGAAGAAACGTTACGAGATAATAAAAGAGAAATCTCATTCATAACTTTCGCTTTTAATGCATACGAAATTATCCACCCCGGAATGATCTTCGCTCCTCCCGCACCTGCATTTTCATCTTTTCCTTTTGTATAATTACCCATTCTCCAGTGCCACATGGTACATTCAGATTCAAACACCGGGAGAAAACGAGGCATTGAAGACAGTGAGTCCCCCCTGCCCTTCCCCGAGAGAGAACACGGTGTTGTACGTACCGCGAAGTCTCTAGGTGTCCCACCAGTTCTTATATTAGCATCTCGTAATAGGCCTGTCACTATTCACTGCCTCCTGCAATCAAAGTACCCTCTCGACGAGTTGTAGAGACTCTTCAGATGTGTGTGAGGAAGTCAAGCTTAAACCAATTTCTAATTTTTTTTATTTTTCCTGCATTCCCCTCCCCTCCAGGCCCTTCTCCCCTCCAATCTCGACCGAGTCTCGTTTCTATTCCACTTGGCTGAGGAAAACTCACCCAGTTATGACACGCTTTTATCCATTCAAAACTTTTCCCCGGAAGATTCACCTCTCTCACCTCCTGTTTCGTTTATTTCATTCGGGGCAAAAGGGGCTTGAATAATTTCCGGATGAGGGGCGGGGGGCGACGGGGAAGGATTCATTTTCTCATGGCACACTCTCGACTTCCCCTGGTTAGTTTTCCCGCCAGCCCTCGCGGGGAGGAGGGGAGAGCGCCGATCTCTCATATCGGAGCATGA